TTAAAGTTGAGAGAAAAAAAATCTGGTTTCACATTTAATTGGTTGACTAAATGAAACTATCACTTTGTTTCTGCTTTGTGTAAAATAAAAATCTCTGAATCAAATGTGGATCTGAAAATACGTAACAAACTTCTGCAGCACATTCTGACAAATCATCAACGTTAGATAAAATAAACAGGGCCGCTTCAGGAAACTTTCCTAATGTTTAAAACAGTTTTGTTCTAGAAACTTCTAATGGACAGAGGATGGATTTGGAGACATGAAAAACATAAAATATCTTCTGATTATTTAAGTCTAATTTTTGAGCCTTTTGTCACACTTTTGAGCCCTTTAGTGTGAACAAACCCATGAGTTATTGTACATTTATATTGTGTCGTGTGCTCCTCATTCCTACCGTTGTGTAACCGGTGATACAAACCTGACATTTCTCCAGGACGGTTAGGAGGGGCGTGTTCTTTTGGGTTTTCACGCCTTTTCAACACCTTTTATTAAAGTTTGTTGCTGCACAAAATGTGTCATCACAATGTTATTTTAACATTAGATACACAGTTAAAATCTGCAACATAATGTTTCTACCAAACCACTGACTCAGGATTAAAATAGTACAAGGCTTACACAGATTTAAACCTCTACAAGTTACTGCTACGAGATTAAATCAACCGTTAGCGCAGCATGACATCAGCAAACAAGAGCTTTTTAGTATTTATCTATGTCTGTAATTCTTTCCCTTTTTATCTTCCGTCATATTATTAAGGGTTGTATTCTGGATCAGAGTGGTGGGTCTTATTTGACTGATTTGTCCGCAAGTAGAAAAGGCCTGCTTTATTATTATTATTATATTAGAGAAGGTCCTGGGTTCGAATCCCGGTCGGACCAGGGCCTTTCTGAGTGGAGTTTGCATGTTCTCCCCGTGTCTGCGTAGGTTTCCTCCGGGTACTCCGGTTTCCCCTACGTCTAAAAATATGTCCAATAGTTCTAGCATGTGCCTCATGTACTGGCCCCGCTCCCATCTCTGTGTGGAGTGAGAGACAAATGCCCAAAATTAACAATTGTAAACCGCTTTGAGACTCAGATCTGCAGTGAAAAGGCGGTATATAAATAAAAACCTACTAACTTACTTAAAACTTGCTATTATTATTATTATTATTAAGGGTCTGCTATACCACAAAACATTCAAGCTGGGCCACATAACTTTCAAACCACAAATATATTATAAAATCCATGTAATTATTTTTCTCACGCTTAAAACTGCTCTAGATTAGAACAGTGTCTCCCAAAGTGGGGTCATCAAAAAAAAAAAAAAAGTTTTATATAATTATTGTATGTTAAATTAATAATATTTTGTTTGTAAAATTAAAATATTTCTGTTCATTATTTGACTTAAATAATCAAATTGTAATCATTTTTGTATCACAGAATGGGGTGTGTCATTTACATGTTTGTAGCAGAGGCTATTTCCCCCAAATAAAATAACAAGAAGAGCCTATTTTTAACATTGTCTTCTTGGTTATTATTTCGGGGCCGCGCAGACCCGTCAGATTTTTAAAGGGGTGTTACTGACTTTGGGAATGGCTGGATTAGAAGATTCAAATGTATTGTCATTACAAAGTCAGAACAATGCCACAAAACCAGTAGTGCAATAGCGCCAGTGTGTAAGATCATATTTACAACACATATTTGCATGTATGTAAAAATCTGCTATTGCTAGTATTGACCCCTTGCATGTGACGTCCCGGCCACGCCCACTCTCCATGACAGACGGCAGAAGTCTAACTGCGAGCCTACGGACACCTGACCAAAACAACCTGTTTCAGCGCATTACAGCCAAAACTGTGACATTTTGCAGTGCGGTCGATTATACTAACAGGCACGGACATAAGCTTTTTTATCTGATACCTGCTCGTCATGAAGACAGAAGAAGACGATGGCGGCAATCAACCAAAAGGACTGGGACCCATCCAAGTACTCCCTAATCTGCAGTGAACACTTTTTACAAGATAAAGCAATCACAAGTTCGTATTTATTTTATTTCCATGAATGTGGAGGACAATGACACACGTCAAACGTGTCTCTTACTACTGTCCTGTCTGTGCGCTGCAACATTGACATTTTTATCTTTTAAGTCAATTGCGTGTTTCACTATTTTCCTCTCCGTCAGTACGTATCATGTTTGGCTGTAGACAGAAAAGCCACAGAAAAGTGGACTATTGCTAATGCTACCAGCAAAATGTACACATAAATCTGCTCCAGTGTGAGGGGGTGCATTGTTAACGATAATGATAAAGATCATGTAGGGTGAATTCGGGCAAAAATAAATTTTATTTAATCGATAAAATTGACTGGGGGGAGAAGGTACGGGTCAACATCCAGTTAGGCAATCCTTAACTTCTCCAAATACCACTCTTTGTGAGCCCTGACCTGATGTCCTACTTCCACCTATAACGTAATCGAACATGTGCTTGAAGCAGCCACTTCTCGATTTAGGAGAGGAAGCTCCGTTTTTAAGAGTTGTAGTCCGTTTTGCTCTCGCAGCAATGCTAATGCTAATGCTAATGCTAATGCTAGTTTCCAATACTTCCGCCGTAAGCTCATTCACAATCACGTGACTGGATGACGTTGATGCATCTGGTCAATATACATTTATTTTATTGCATTACATAAAGTGCATAAACTTTATTAAAACTTTCACATGTATCTATTTTTTCGGCTTTCGTCAAATCTTCAGATCTGCTTTTGTCTCAAGTATGCAACATATAACATTGTCGTGTTCAAATTTATTCAACATTTTACTGTTTGAAAGAATCTTTCTGTAGGCGACTCCCTAAAAATCCCTAAGAATACAAGCAGCTGTTAGTATTAGATAACAATATGGCCTATGTGCAGGACTGTACAAGGACTCTGATTATTTTGACTATGATGTGACTGTCTCTGTGTGACACGTCTTTCCATGTGTGACGTGACAATGACTATATAAACTGTGTACTGCCTTTATTCTGTCTGAGAGAAGGAAACAATGGAAACCACTGAAACTTGAGAGAAACTTAAATAAACTTCCAGAGTTTGGCGCACCACGATCCGTCTCTGTCTGGTTCATTCCTGACACAGCTACACAAGTTAAACAAAGTATACATACGACTTTTCTGTATTCAAGAAACTAAACCCGTTTCCGTTGCATATGTTCTGCAAAAGTCGTTGGACGCTGAAATTCCAAACTTCCTCAATATTTCCTGCACAGCTTAAGACGCCAGAATTGCCTATAGATTACGTTAATGTCCGCAATCAATTTTCGCGAGCATAGTAACACTAGCCCCCTTCTGGTCTGGACAAATCGGGCTCCGTGTCTCGGTTCATACACCCCGGGCTAATAACTCTAAAGAGAAAAGTGAAAACAAAGCCAGTATAGAAGCGAGGCATTTGTACTCCAAGTCTGAGAAGGAATTGTTTCTTGGGCGCATTGATTTTTTCCCTTCAGGGTAAATTCATCAACTGGTGAAAATCAGAGACAACTAAAGTGTGTATTTTAAATGTGTTTATGCTTCATTGGGGGGCGGCGAGTCCTGAGCAGTTAACAATAAGCGCATTAGGCTTAAAGTACATCCTGTTATTATGGTCAAATTGGCACCAAACAGAAAGCAATCGTGTTGAGGTTGTTATTTATTTTATATGAACTTGAAAATATGTCAAAATCAGACATTTTCACAAGGACTTTATTTCCAGGGAAAGCTGTAAAAACTGTCGCGCAGAAGGAGATTCAATTACAAACATCACAAAATCCTCAAAAGTCACTCAATGAAGCAGAAACTTGTAAAATGTACTCAACTTTCAGACAGAAATGTGTTTATTTAAGAGATTTAATCCTTTACCTGAACACCACTGCCTTTTATTGCACACAGTTTGAAGCCCTCTGAACTTAGCTTTTCACTAAATTTTTCACAAAGGCTTTGTACGTATTCACAGCAAACAATTCATCACGGCGTGTCAAAGAATTTCTCGACAACTTTGACGGGGCAAAGTTGAGATTCTTCTTTACAGGGGAATTATCAACAATCAGCCAAGGTATAGCTTTAGAAATGAAAGAAAACAGCTCAAGGGCATGATGTCACATTTCACTTTAAGCATATCTAGCCCCAAGAGTTGACTTCAATACTTCACTAAACTAAAGCAACAGGATTATAAATACATTCGTAATTGTGTTTTTTCGGATGACCATTGCCGTTGTGCGATTTAGGTCAAAGCTAGGATAATGTTCAAAGTGCACCAGGAGTAGCCCCACTCTGCTTAAAACTGAATTTGATAAGACTGGACTTGCGTTTTTGATGAGCAGTTAAAACTAGAAATACTACCTTAAAACTATCTTAATACTATCTTAGCCCGGTTTTTGACACTTGCAGCAATAACTTGTATTTCTAAGCCAGTTATAGAACAGTAAACACAGACATAGCCAGTTTAATACATCAAACAACAAGATAATTTGCTGATTTTAATGTAAATTTTGGAATTTTTGGAATTGAATAATTGCGGGCACTAAATCTGCTATTTAGATTTCGTTGGAATTGGTCGCCCCCAATGCTATACTGTAGAGCAGGGGTCTCAAACCTGAGCCCAAGGTCCAAACAGGAGCCCAACCACCCCCTTTCAGGTAGCTACCCTAAGGATTCAAGAATTTATCACAAGATTCACTTTTAGGTTATTGCATAATCTATTTTAACTATCAATCTTTTCACAAATGCAGGGATCATGTATGTGCATGTGTCTTCTCCATGATTTGTAGTTATTACAGACTACAATTGTATCACGACTAGTACTTCTCTCTGCTGTTTCTATTTTATTAAAGTAGCAATCCAAAAAGTTGGAGACCCCTGCTGTAGAAAAATAAAATACTAATAATGCATTGGTTTTATATATTTTGGACACTCAAAGACGCTTCACATGTCATTAATCTTCATAAATATATCGAATTTTCAAAACTTTGCACAGAATAATCCTTGAAAGCATCCTTCTTACCTTTGCGACATGATCTTGTAGGCGTCGGGCAGATAGCAGCGCGTGTTCTCCATCTGCGCTGGGTCCGCGTCGCAGATCTTGTCGTCAGTCCGCCCGTAGTTGGCGCTCTCGATCATGATGACGTCGGTGCCCGGGCAGCGCAGCTCGATGGGGTACGATTCACAGGAGAGCTCCCTCCTCACCACCGCCATGGGGACGGGGGCCCGGCTGAAGGCTGCACAGAGGACAGACATAAGGCGTTTTAAGAGATTTTCGTAATTCGGCCAAAAGACATTACAACAGAAAAACTTTATTCACATGTTTTGTCACTTTTAAAATGATATGTTTATTGATGTTTAATGTTCTGGAGGAAGTGTGTGTGAATAGGAAAGTCTTAGCCTGGTCGTACCACACCATAGTACTCCTTTTGCAGATTGAAACGATTGGATCTGAGTTTACCGTGACGTACTGTATGTAATGCGCCCGAGTGAGTTGTTAGCATTTAGCATTTAGCCTAGCCATCTCCTTTGCTGCTAACGGTTTTTCCAGCGATTACATTTGCTAAACATTCCTCTTGCTCCGGCTTCAGTTTCTTGATAGAACCAGACCAGATTACTTTACTATCGCATTTTTCAACATTGCCAAACTATGACCTTCCCGTTCGACGCAGACTCATGACATCACCCACAACTAACTACAACACTTCCGCGCTCTCTGATTGGTCGGTTGAAATTCAACCGTTTGTAATCGCAAACACAGGGACCAGACCCAGACGTTACATGCAGTGAAATGATGATTGAGCGGAGGGTACGGATGGATAAGGCCAGGGTAGGAAAGTCTGGGTGTCTCTGCTCATGCTGCCTATGCAACCCGGCAACAGATAAAGTAGAAGAAAATGGAGGCATGGATTGTGTTTTTGCTGCTGGACACTCCAATTATTCCTACAGGGATCAATTCAGCATCTTGTTTGGGATTTTGTTTTTTTGAATGAAACAATTCCAAAAGAAACTTTTAGTGCTGATAAAAGTTAACCAAAAGTTTAAAAACTGGGTTAAGGAAAGTGTGCTAAAGACAAAAGTCAGACAATGTGTCAAAATGTCTGACAATTATGACAACTTGTTTGGGGTGGGGCTTATGGTTGGGGTGATAGTTCAACGTTTTAATACTGTAGGGACCTTTGTGTTATATTTTTGTCTGAACATTACTTTAAACTCAAACCTGATTGGTTGATTGTCATTGTAAGTATATCATAGACTTAGCTAGGACAATGCCTGAAATTATTTTTATTCTTTTGGATTGTCATTAGTTTTATTATTATTAGTTTTATCTCGACAGTAGCTCAGTTGGTAGAGCATTGGCCTTTGAGTGTGAAGGTCATGGGTTCAAGCCCACCGTAAGACCTACTTCACGACTCCCACTGATGACTGCTGTCGTTGTGTCCTTGGGCAAGACACTTAACCCCACTTTGCCTGAAGCTCCCACTGAAAGATCTCAGCTCCTGTGGACTCACCACCTGCAGGAGGATCAGTGAGGGGCTGGTGCTCTGTGAACTGGGTGCAGCTCTGGCCACCCCCCCCCCCCCCCCCCCCGACCCAGAAATGGATTAAGGGGAGGAAAATGGATGGATGGATGGAGTTTTATCTCACAACATTTCAGTGATTCACCGCTTTTTTCAAATCAAATTTCTGAACAAACTCATTGACTGCCATTGACGTATTTGTCTGAGACTGGGGATTACAGGACAATAAAAATAGCTAGAAACAAACTTATTTTTGCTGATGAAAGTAGACAATCCAGTCTTTTACAATCAGGTTTCATATTTCACATAGTCTTAAGAAATCACATTCTGGGGGTCTTGAGAATCAGTGAAATCATCAAAAACGGCTGGCAGTCAATATGTTAAAGGGTTGAAAGGAAATGTTGCTTCATATCCCCTCTTTAACAAAATCAACTGAGAAACCTTTGAATCGGTACACTGCAAAAGATGACAGAATTAAAGACAAAAAAATGCTCAAATTTGGCTAAATGTATCTAAATATGAGCACATTTTGACTGCCTTAAAACAACATTTGCCGGTGGAACAAGAAAAATGGTCTTCTCGATTCTAGCAATTATGATCTCAAATTTGATCATATTTTGCAGTGTATAAAAACCACAGGGAAACTGAAGCTAATACATACATCATACAAGTCTGCACACATATATGTACCAACTGCACACAAAACAGTCGAGATCCAGCCTACAACAAAGGGTCAGGGCATGACTGCAGATACTGTATGACCACTCCCGTCTCGCGCTGGTGGGTGGAAAGGCCTCTGCTGTGTGTGAGTGGGAGGATCATTACAATGTGAGAGCGATTGGAGACGCCACGGGTCCACACGAGACGGCCGCCGATCACGGACACGGTTGTAAGTGCACGTTGGAATGGGAAAGTGCTGCATTATGGTTATTCAGAAAACAAATGGTTTGACAGTAGAGTGCATAAGAGACAAAGTGTTGTGTGATCCCTGGCAGCAAGATATGTGTATTACTAAAGCTGGGATAAAAAGTGGCAGTGGATATTGTGGCGGGAATCCGGTAGGAATAAACTGTCTTTGGTTGCAATTATGAGAATATTCCAAAAAGCTCCATGTTCTAAACCACGGTGGTCCATCTGCAGGAAACAAAATCTGTCACGCAGTTCGACAACTTCTCCTTCTGCACATACTGTATCAGCTGTTATTGTCATTTTTTTCGCATAAAAGGTGTTTGGAAGTCATGTCCATATCAAAAGAAAAATTATGCAAAATCCGGTAGAAAGGACAGGACTTGAGAAATGAGAACAAAATAGCAGCTTTGTGAATCTAACCATCATAGTTTTACTTCTTCCCACTTCATTTCAGTTCCACATAGGGGTGAAGAGGAAAATGTATATCTATGTATCTATGTCGAAACAACAACAATCTTGTAAGAAGGTCCTGGGTTTGAATCCCAGTCGGAACAGGGCCTTTCTGAGTGGGGTTTGCATGTTCTCCCTGTGTCTGCATAGGTTTCCTCCGGGTGCTCCGGTTTCCCCTAACACTAAAAAACATGCTCGCTAGGTAAAATCCTCCAGCTCTGGTCCTGACCAAGCCGAGCATCAACATCTGGAGATGGGTTCCCGGGCGCTGTTACTACGGCGACCACTGCTCCTGACGTAAGCCTTAGCGGCATCAGGATGGGTCAAATGCAGAGGACAAGTTTCCCTACGGGGACAATAAAGTGCACATTTACATTTAAACCTGAAAAAATAAATAAATGAAATGAAATGGAAATTCAAAAATACTATGACTATATGAGGCCATTACTGAAACCCACGACTACAGCATGAATCACACGCAATCATGGATTTTGTATTTTTGAAGAGAGACTTTAAACAAACTATTTTACAATCCAGGTAGAGACCGAGCCTTTGAATGAATAGGTACGCTGCATAAAAACAGAGTGCCTTCCAAAAAGACCTCACACTCACTTAATTCATCCAACTCTGCTTCATGTGAAAATCCTGGCCTGGTTTCTCTTGTTTATACAGAGAATAAAAAATGATCAAGTAGCATAAACATTGGCCTGAGTGACCGTGGGCGCAGTGTGGCAGTTACAAGTTTATATAAACGTCTCTTCAGTCATGAGTCGGAGCAGCTGAGACATGTATCAGAGGTGACCCGAGTCCATCTTAGAAAGGAGGACTGATATACTATGGGCAAGAAAAGAATCAATGGAACTACTGCAAAAACGATACCTAAAGCAGGGGACTCCAAACTTTTTCAATAAGAGAGCTACTTTTATAATAAACAAGAGGCAGAGAGCTACTACTTTTTGCAGTCGTAACTAAAAATCTATCTAATAATTGTAACAAAACATGGAGAACACATGTGAAATATACCATAATACTGTATGAGCCTAAATGCATACTTTTATTAGATATGTATTGGCTCAAAATGTATTCTGTAAGTCTAAACCCTTTGGGGAGCTACCTGAAAGGGGCTGGCGAGCTACTGGTAGCTCCCGAGCCGCAGGTTGGAGACCCCTGGAGCCTGTTGATGGAGCCTTGTTGACAATAAGATCACATATCCAATTACGAATCAGAATCAGAATTATTTTTCGTGCCATGTGAGTAACAGGAAGCCACAGACTCGGAAATGGCTTCGGCTCTCGGTACAAACAAGTAAGTAATAAGCTGTTTTAAGTTAAATCAAGTTAGTAGGCCTCGTTATATGTGCTTTTATGTTATAAGGGCATTTTTTTATACATAGCGCTTCTCAGACCAGGGACACACAAAGCACTTTGGTTTTTGCATTGGGTTCAGTGAGCAAAAATGGAGAATAGACCAAACTCGATGCTCAAACTTGACATATTACATGTAAAGTAATAGCAGGTCCATTGAGAGAAGCAGATGATGGACCTCACACAGAAAAGTTACACTCAATAATGGCCGTGGCGGGTCTGAAATGTGACTCTTATCCAAGTTAAACAATGACATTTTTCTGCATGTAAACATTAACCGGCTGAGATCTCTCCGCAGTCACTTTTGGGCTTGGTCTGGAAGGATTCCTTTAAAGTAAACGCAAGGCTCATGCAGAATGTATAGTAGGACTTTCTAAACAAAACAAAAAAAACACATTGGAATTCACGTTAAGTAATCTGTTTAGTCTGTAAAAAGTCTGTGATAAATGTCTTTTTAAAGAGCGACTAAACACCTGTGCCCAGCCTGACTCCGCCCACATGAAGATTTGAAATTTTTCTCTAAAAAGGGCGTTGCCTGGAGGACCGAGGGACAAGAAGGGGGGCTTAGAGTTGGGCGTGGTCTGGGCTGTGATTGACAGCTCACTTGTCTCACACAAAAAATAACAGACAGTTGTCATTGCTGCTTAAAGCAATAGTTTACAGACCAGAAAGTCTCATTCCACCCTTGTTTACACACTAAGATAATTGTAAAGCTACACACCTGAACCTAATCACACTCAATAATCTCAGAATGACTCATGTAATTTAATTTTAATCCACTAGATGGCACCAGAATACTTCAAACTGTAGCTGGGGCGTGTGTGAGAGTTGAATGGGTTTACATCACTGGCTCTGACAGACTGACGTCACACAAAACAACTGAGGTCATAGAGAACTTCAGAGTCAATGGAGAGGCCAGGACCAAATTCAAATGTAGTACCACCAGAAAGGTTGAGAGGGCGCCACACAGCGTTTTTTGGCTCAAAAGTGATA